GACCTTGTGGTTCACAGTCCAGTGCTTATCCTACATAGCCGCAGCACTCCCCTTAATGATCTTCTTGTTGTCAGTGCCATCGAGTCAGTTCCAACTCATAGAGACCCTGTATAGGGTTTCCAAGAAGTGGGTGGTGGGTTTGAACTTTCTACTTTGCCATTAGCAGTTCAGTGCTTATCATAGTGCTTTTTAATGGAAAAACTTGTTTTCCAATAACCCCAAACAATGAATAGTTGCTAGCCCTGGTAGTGCTGTATGGTAAGCACCGAACTGCTGACCACAAGATGGATAATTTGCATCCAATCAGCACTTCCATGGGGGAAAGAGGACTGCCTACTCCTGTAAAGATTTACAGTCTGCAGTGGGTTTGTTGGTTTTGCCTTGTTTTTGTTTGTTGGTTTTGTATAGTTTAGTAAGGGAGCCATGGTAACACGGTGGCTACATGCTCAGCTGTTAACCAGAAGGTCAGGGTTCTGAAGCCACTCGCCTCTCCACAGGAAGAAGATGTGGCAGCCACCTGGCTAAGGATTCCCAGCCCTGAAAACACTACGAGACAGTTCTGTGCTGTCCTTTCGGGTTGTTAGGGGTTGAAATGACTCAGTGGCAGTTGGTGTTTGGGCAGTTTTAGTAAGTTGAAATTTTTAACTATCAGATCATTGCACACCATCAAACTATTTATGAACTCCTGGTGTGGTGCCATAGGATAAGCACTCAACCTCAAGGTCTGTTTGAACCACAAGGTCAGTGGTTCAAACTTACCAGCCACTCCTTGAAAACCTTGTAAAGAGTTGCTATGAGTTTGAGCCAACTCAATGGCACTTAACAACAATAACAATTATGTATAGATATTTACACTATATATTAAAAAGCATAGGGAAATATAAAACTTTGTTCATGGTGGTGGTTGTGTGCCATGGAGTTGGTCTCACAGTGACCCTGTATAGGGCATCCAAAGCTATAAATATTTATGGGAGCAGAAAGCCTCATCTTTCACCTGAGGAGCTACAGGTAGATTTGAACTGCTGACCTTGCAGTTAGCAGTTCAGCTCACAATCCACTGTGTTACCACCCACAGTTCCTTTGTTTGTTCATAGGAAGAAAAACCTTTTAAATGTGTAATAAGTATTCTGTCTTAGTTTATTGAAATAAGCTGTCGGGGGAGACAATGACATGGATGCAAACAGGGTCTCGGCCTTGTTTGTGAAATCATGTATCCAATTAAGTTTTCGACAAAGGAGAATTGAGGTGTTTTCATAGAAGTATGGAATCCAGGTGTGGCGCTGCATGTTAATGCACTGGACTGCAAAGTCATTTGAACCACAAGGTTGGCAGTTCAAGCTCACCAACCGCTCCTTGGAAACCCTATACAGGGTCGTTATGTGTTGGAAACACCTCAATGGCATTTAACAATAACAACAATAGAAGTATAAGTACAATATTTTGAACGTTTTTTAGAGAAACAAAACAGGACCATTTTGAGGCATATTTATGATACCTTTAGGTGCAAGAAAACATATGGGTGAGTGGATAGAAAAAAAATAATCAAGCAGAAGAAATAAGGGAAGCCCAACAATGCAGAATCCTCAAAGAAAGACTAATTTGAAAGAGGGAGAGTTCGCCAATGCTTCAGAAAACTTGGCCCAGCAGAAGTTTGTGGATGGACTGAAGAGAAAGGCACTAGAGCTGGCCTGGATGTACTGAAGAACTGAAGTAGAATGCAGTGACCGTGGAAGGAATCTGACAGGAGCCGGGAAATAAAACGGCATTGTAAACAGAATCAGCACGATTTGATGACTGTTTATAGCAGGACAGTCCAGTGGAAATATAATGCAAACCACTTGTATAATTTTAGTTGTGCTAGTTGCAAAATTTTAAAATAAAAAGAGAAATTAATTTTAGTCATGTATTTATTTAAGTAATCAAATAAAAAATATAATCATGTCCACATGTAATTGATGTAAAAATATTAGTTTATGTTTTATTATTTTTAGTAGAATTTAAATTCCAATTTGTATTTCACACAACATAGCTCAATTTTGATTAAAACTTTTTTATTAGAAATACTTCATCTGCATTTAGATTTTATAAAATTTACAGTTGAAAAAGTAGTTCAAACATAGTTAAAAGTTTTCCAGTAAATGAGCTGGGTACCAGAAATAAGTTATTTTCCTTTAATAGCCACATCCACACTGACAAAACTAGTTCTATTTTTTAAGGTGAATTGATTTGAATCTAAAGCCAAGTCATACCCATCTCAAAATCATGTCCATATCCTCTGGGTTTAAATAAACTCACTAGCTCTTATGATAACTCCGTGTTATTAACATCAAATTCAAAGCTACATTGAAATAAACTTTAAATTCATTGATATGAAAAAGTATTCCTCAGATTATTTGTATTAATTGAAGATTTTTTTTACTTTTTGTGAAATATCATTTTGTCTGTTTTTCATATTCCTCAAATCTCCGTAAGATAAATAATCTCTTTTACCATCTCTCAACTAAAAATTATTTTTGTGTAAGAACTCAGCCCATAGTGTTGTTTTTATTATAGTTGTTAAGTGCTGCCATGTCGGTTCCAAATGATAGTGACCCTATATAGGGATCCCAAGGAGCAGATTGAACCAGTGCTTATCCTACAGTACTACACCAAGACTCTCCCAATCCATACTATTGTTGCTACTGTTGACTGCCGTCAAGTCAGTTGACATTCATAGTGACCCTGTATAGAGTTTCCAAGGAGCGACTGGTGAGCTGGAACTGCCAACCTTGCGGTTCAAACAAAACTTGCAGTTCGGTGCATTAACCCACAATGCCACACCAGGATACCTACTATAACTAGACAAAATAGCTTAATGTTTTTTTGTTAGGCTTTTAACTGGAATTTCACTTGATTAAATTTGTCTTTTATTTTTTTGACTATTGAGAGGAAACTTCTTACCAAATTTGCTATATAAGGGTAAGTCAAAAAAGTATTGCTACAAAATCATAGCCATCTCTAATAACAAAAATGTCAAAATGTGAATCTATTGTTTCTCCACATACTCTCCATCTAGTTCTATTTACTTCTGAAGATGCTGTTTCCACCTCTCTAACACTTCCCAGCACTCTTCAATTTACACTATGCCAAAAATGACAGTCTGGGCATCCTCAAGGGACTCAAATCACATTCCTTTTTAAGTGTCCTTTGAGTTTTAGGAACAAAATGAAGTCTGAAGGGGCAAGATCAGGCTCATTGAGTAGATGGGATAAGATTTCCCAACAAAATTCTCCTCCGAGAGCCCTTCTACCTTCTAAGCAAACCTCTCAGCCTTAACTGGTTCAGCAGATCCCCTCAGAAGGCACAGTTTTGATGGAACCTTTTTTTTTTTCCTAAGACACCCTTGTGCAGCAGATTTGCCTAATGCAATACGTCATCTGATTTATATTTGGAGTTGAGTACACATTCAAAACTTGAGGCATATCACTGCAGAAATAACTGGGGTATAAAAACTAACTGTTCCCACCTCATAGCAGAAGTTAGGCATTCAGTGAGCCAGAGCCTCAGAGGCTCAGATGTTAATTAGTGAGCTCGGAGTGCAAGGGCTGAGGTTGTCCTCCCATCTCCAGGTGAAAGAATTGGAGAGAATAGACACGGAGAGACAAAACTGGACTAAGATTGAATGACAAGAAAAAGGGGAAGGAAAGAAGCAATTCCAAGGTACAAAGCACAGCAATCTGAGTACCTAGCAGTGGTGCTGAGAGGGGTCCTGAGTACTGAGTGAAAGCTCAAGAATTTTAATCTCCAGAAACTTCCTGCAGAGAACAGCCCGATCTTCATGTCTGCAATATGGAGCTTGTTTCCACTGCATAAAAGAACTGCAGGTTCTGGACTTCTAGCATGCTTTGCTTTATGCTTTAATTCTAAAATCCCATTCCATATCTAAACTGAGGAGATAGAAATAAGGGGGAAATTCTGCGTATCAAATGTTTATCATTGCGAAAAACTGGAAACAGCCTAAATAAATACCTGTAAGAAAATAGTTAAATAAAAGAAACCCAGAAGATAAAAACCACATTGGCAGAGTAGTAGAGCACGAGGCATTTTTATAGCTGTGAAACTACTACATGAGACAGTAATGGTGGACAGATGACATTATGTATCTGTCAAAACCCGTACCACTACTGAGTGGTCTTCAACCTGTCTAGAGGGGGTTTGGTGAAAGGAGATGGGGATAAAAGACTCTTGTGGTTCAATAGTGAATAATTGCTATCAGAACTGATTGCAGTTATTACAAAGGTAAAGGCAGATGTTTTGTAACAAAAGGAGGGGAGTGGTTGATCTTGCAGTCCAGGAGCAGAGGACCCTGAGACCATCAAGAGAGAAGAGTGGAGTGCGGGGCCCTATCTAGAGAAGCAGCAATGCCAGAGATGGATGCAAAGACAATGATGGAGCAGCTGGGGACTCTAGACTCAAGGAGGGAGAGGGGCTATGTGCTGGTAGCCGGGGGCCAGGCTTGCAGGGTACGCCCTTTGGTTGTTTGAATGATTATATATTCCTGAGTGCTTTAGTGTACAACCAAAAAAAAAAAAATACAGAGGGAATAACAGCAAATGCTGTTGAATGATGATGCGTGGAGGGGATTGTAATCATTGCAATGAAATGAAATACGATAGGATGAGTGTAAAGCTAATGTTCTCCCATGTAAACTATCACTCAAGTCATAATAAAAATGTAAAAGAGCCCCATAGGACTGCACAGTTCAAAAAGTGAGCACTTCTGTAGACTATGGATGTTAGTCAATAATGCTGCCATATTGGTTAATCAGTTACATCGACGATAGGAACCATGTGCAGAAGAAAGAGATATATGGGAGCTCTTGCTTTATGCACAATTGTTCTATAAACGTATGATGGATGTAAACAAAAAAAAGTCTATCTTTGAAACTACATAGATAATTATTTAAGTATACACAAAATTCAGTGTTTTCATATATGTTCTTTCCTCCCTCCTGATCATAGGAAACTGCACTGTACCAGGAACTACATCCACCTAAACCTGTTCCTCTCTTTCATCCTGAGAGCCATCTCAGTGTTGGTCAAGGACGACATCCTCTACTCTAGCTCCAGCGCGCTGCATTGTCCTGACCAGATATCCTCATGGGTAAGATGTGCCCATAACCAGAGTTTCTTCACATGTATTCTCTGTAGGCCTACAGTCCTCCTACATGTCATGAGGTAGAAAAAGCTACCTTTTGTGAACTCTAGCACCCACCAACCACCATCCATACTGCTGCTGTCCCTTCATCTCCATTCCTGCTTCTCAGTACTGATGCAGGCCCTGCAAGTCCTGGTCAGGTCTGAAAACAGAAAGAGTCTGGCAAAGAGGATGGGAAACAGGCAGCGTGACAGACCTAAAGGCTTAGGTGTCAGAGCAGGCCCAATGCAGCACCAAAACCAGAGTTGGATGGCACTGAGACAAAGAGGTGTTGAAAGAGCTAATAGTCCAAGTAAGGGACTGGGGAAGTAGAGGAGCCATGAGAGCTGACTTATAGCCAACTTTTGATTAGAAGGAGCAATCCTAAGCAGTTCCAGGTTGAAAAATCTTGATGTAGATGAACACACGCTGAAATCTGTTGTATTGTGTTCTGGCTAATCATCTAGATCCTGAGCAATAAATGCCTCCATCCCAACTACTGGGAGGAAATCAGTTTGTCTAGTGAATAAATTACTTGCTTCTTGCTGTTGTTAGGTGCCATCTAGTCAACTCCAACTCATAGTGACCTTGTGTACAACAGAACAAAGCACTGCCCAGTTCTGTGCCATCCTTACAATTGTTGCTAAGCTTGAGCCTATTGCTGCTGCCACTGTGGCAGTCCATCTCATTGGAGGTTTTCCTCTTTTTCGCTGACCCTCCACTTAGCCTAACATGATGTCCTTCTCCAGGGACTGGTCCCTCCTGACAATGTGTCCGAAGTATAAGAGATGAAGTCATACTATCCTGGTTTCCAAGGAGCATTCTGGTTGTACTTCTTCCAACACAGACTTGTTTTAGCAGTCCATAGTACTTTTAATGTTCTCCTTCAACAACATAACTCAAAAGCATCAATTCTGCTATGGTCTTCCTTATTCACTGTCCAACTTTCACATGCATGTAAGGCTGTTGAAAATTCATGCAGTCGGCAATAATATGCAGTGTTATACTATGAACCCACTTCAATATCTGTTGCTACACTTGGATCCAACTCTCTGACAAAAGGGTAATACTAGGCGGGGCTGATGCAATGAAATGCAGACGGGTCTCTTGTGATACAATAGTGAATAATTGTTATCAGGACTGATTGTGAGGGTCAGAAATAGCAAGGAGGGGAGTGATTAACTTTTCAGTCTAGGAGCGGAGGTCCCTAGGACCATCAAGGGAGAAGAGCAGAGAGCGGGACCCTACCCAGAGAAGCAGTGATGCCTGAGATGGAGGCAGAGAGGATGACTTGGAGCGATGGAGCAGCTGGAGACTTTAGATCCAGAGAGGGAGAGGGACTGTGTGCATGGGGGGGCAGGATTGCAGGGTATACCCTTTGGTTGGTTGATGATGCATGGAGGGGATTGTAACCATGGCAATGATACGGTACACGATAGAATGAATGTAAAACTAATGTTCTCCCATGTAAACTACCACATAATTCACAATAAATCATTTAAGGAAAAAAACAAAGGGTAATACTAATTATTAGTTTCTACAAATGCAACATCAGTCCTATGTCACATTACCCAAGCAGTTCTTCTCTCTTGACTATATGAGATGATTAATACAATAAATAATCACTAAGGACTTCCTATATACAAGTCCACCTGCTGAGTTTTTCTCTGGTATTACATAACTGTAAGAATCCCAGGATTTTCAGGAAGCATTTGGAATTATGGTACATCATTCTTAATTTGAAATCATAGCTATGGAGGTTGACTACTCTCTTTTATCAAAAGCCAAGAATTCTGGATCCTTCTCTTCACATTCCAAATGAGAGTCATCTATGGGCACAGTTGCTTTGGATGAAACAATTTGGGTTAATTTGGTTTTAAGACAATAGAGTTATTTTATAATTCTGCAGGGCATCAGTTATTTCACAGGCAAACTAGGCCATCATGCTTTTTCTACAGGTAAATAGATATTTCTGGGCATGATCTAGCTTGTGGTGTATGTAGATTGAATTAATAAAGTAGGATAATGCACTGGACCGAAAGGTCACTTTGAACCCCAAGGTTGGTGGTTCAAACTCATCAGTCGCTCCTCAGAAACCCTATACAGGGTTGCTATGAGTCAGAACCTATTTGATGGCATATAACAACCGTTGTCATAAAGGAGTCCTGGTGTGACACTGTAAAATAAGCGCTGGACTGCTAACTGCAAGGTCGACAGTTCAAACACACCAGCTGCTCCTTGGAAACCCTATACAGGGTCCCTATGAGTTGGAACTGACTTTATGGAACTAACAATTGTCATAAAATTTCTATACTTCTGGAAAATCAACACTTCTAAAGTAGTTGTCAAACCAGCTGATGCTCTTGCCTTAAAATTCTGTGCTAATAAGAAAAGTGGAGGCCTGTTGTGGCACTGTAGGATAAGCATGGGGCTGCTAACCAACCCACCAACCGCTCCTTGGAAACCCTATACAGGGTCACTATGAGTCGGAACCAACTTGATGGCACTTAACAATAACAAGAACAGGGAGGCAAGGCGGAGTCTTCTCTGAGGTTATCATTTCTGTATGGGTCTCAGTTTTTCTCTGATGATTCCTCTTTCCTTAGCTCTCTTATTAAGTTGAAAAGAGACAGTGATACTCAGGAAGTGTTACCGTTAACATACCCTGCCTCATGGGGACTCCATGCACAACGCAGCAAACTGCCTAGTCCTGTGCTTTTCCATGATCTGTTGAGGATTCATAGGGTTTTCATTAGCTAAATGTTGGACATTGGTTAGCAAACCTTTCTTCTCAGTCTGGAAGCACCTGCCGAAGTCTGTTCAGCATCATAGCCACATGTAACTCTGCTCACAGACTGTGCGGTAAGTGGTGGCTATGCTTGAGGGGCACCGTCCAGAAATTGAATCTGGGTCACCTACATGGGAGGTGAGAATCTGCCATGGAGCCACCATTGGCTCCTCTGTTGATCCTTGATGGCGCTGTAGAATCAGCACTGAACTGCGAACCACAAGGTTGATAGTTCATATCCACCAGCTGCTCCTCAGAAACCCTTTACAGGATCACTATGAGTCGGAACCAGCTCCGCAGCTCTTAACAACAACAAACCCACAGATATTAAATATTTGCCCCAGAGCACCAGTGCTTAACTTTCTCTTGCCCTTTAGGTCCAAAAGATACATCCTGCTCCGTACTTGGAGGAACTGAGGGAAATGATCACTGAGAATCTCCTAGGAGTGGAGTGGGTGGTTGAGCAGCTCTTCTGGTGATTCTGCTTTGCCACAGCAGCCCAGCCCACACCTCAACTGGGAACCTCAGGCCTCCTCCCATCCTTTACAAAACTGCTGCTGTGTGCCAAGCAGTTTCCTTGGACACTGAGTTAATTCGCAGTTACATTCAAAGTAATAATTGTCCTGTTTTACAAACGCAGAAACTGGGACCACTGCAAGCAACCTTTGAGCAACTTGCCCAAAGTCATACAAATACCACATGGTGGCTCAGTACTCAAACTCACTGGCGCTTGTGCACTCTCACTTGTAAATGCCAGGACTCCCTAAAGAGTGGACCCTGGGGCTGCATTCCACAGCCAAGATCTAAAATTGGGAAAGACAGACCCAGTGTTAGCTCCCATTGCTTCACTGCAGCTCCGTGAGAACACGGGCTGAAGGGTCCCACCTGAGCCTCCTCACACACCAGCTCCTTCCTTGCACTGCTGGACCAAGTCCATGGTCCTAGGAAAAAGTGAAGTTGAGCAGAAGAGTTGTGGAAAGGGAAAATGGGAGAGGAAAAAGGGGATGGGTAAAAGGAAGGAAAGACACACAAAATATTGGAGAGAACAGAGGAAGGGAAAAGGAAGAGAACAAGCTTCTTCCTTTACATTCACTCATTAAAAAAAGCAAACAAAACCCACTTAAGACAAGTCAATTCCAAGTCTGTAGGACAGAGTAGAACTGACCCCCATAGGGGTTCCAATCCTTTGCTGAAGCAGGCTGCCACATCTTTGTCCCTTGGAGTCGCTATTGGCTTTGACCCACGGACCTTTGGTTAGTAGCTGAATGCTTTAAGCACTCTGCCACCAGGGTTCTTCATTCTCCCACCAAGATTGTTAAAGCTCTGCATAGTTATACAGACTTATAGTTAGACCTCTGAATGAGTAACAAGGAAAAAGCATCCTGTCTTTCAGTTGCATATTTAGGAAATTTTTGTTCCCAGCTAGATTTAACCAAACCAACATTACTCTTCAAAGCCAAGCATATGGGCAGCTCTCCCAAAATAGGTAGCATGGCTCTTTTTCTCACAATATTAGTAGGAGCCAAAAAAAGGAAAAGGTCTATTTCCTCTCGAGATTGAAGGCTTCTGTACTCCTGCCAGGCATGCCTGGCTGACAGGCAGAAGGAACAACTAATTATGTTTCCAGCCTCTTCCCAGCAGCTGGGCCATGAGGCAGAGGCTTCTGGGCGGTGTGTTACCTACAGCTACAAGGTTTTGCATGGGTCTGCTTGGCTTCCCAGAGGGGCTTTCGAGGACCCAAGTGCATTGTTAGTAATGCCAGAGTCCCCAGTAGAAGGACTGCCTCTAGAATCAGGCCTTGTCTCTGAAAGGCACCGTACATACGACTATGTCTAGACACTGAATGAGCAGACTGTATGAGGCATGTTTTGGTTTTGTTTGGAGTTTGGATTTTCATTTTTTGTCACAATGGAAGTACATTTGTGATTGATATTTCAGAGTGTAATGCATTACGGAGAGACTGTGGCACTGAGGGTTAATGCGCAGACTGCAAAGCTGTCTGAACTGCAAGGTCGGCAGTTCAAGCTCACCAGCAGTTCCTCAAAATAGGTAGCATGGCTACCCTATACAGGGTCGCTATGAGTCTGAACAAACTCAATGGCACTTAACAACAACAACAATCTTACAAGCAGTGTTTTCTTTCCATAGACCAGAACAGATTTCATGTAGCGTCTGTGAG